GGAGACGAAACAGGGGAAAGGGGGTCATCCGGGAGGGTGGGGAAGAAAATCTGAGAGGGAGGGAGAGCCGGGCCGGGGTTACCTGCTGGGTGTCTGTCCCCCGGCGGTGCCCCCGGAGTCCGGGTAGGGAGGGGGGGGAGCAGGGGGGGGGGGAGTGGGGACTGGGGGGGGCGGGGAGACGGTCCCTCCTCTGCCTCCTGGGCCTGCCCCGGCGCTTGCAGCCTCTGCCTCCCTCCCTCCTCCTCCCCGTCCCTGAGTCCCGGAGTCAAACAAAGAACTGTAGCAGGCTCTCCCCAACCCCCTCCCTCCTCCTCCACCTCCTCCTCCCCTCCCCTCCCTCCCCACCAGCAGGCTCCCTCCTCCTCCCTTCCGGTCTCTTCCTTTAACTACCCGCCCCCCCAACCCCCAGCACTAGTCTCTCTCCACCCACCCACCCTCAACCTTTTACACACACCCCAATCCAGTCCTATCCCCGAAAGGGAAACTGTGGAGTCCCTCTGCAAAATTAAAAAGGCTTCCAGAGAAGAACATGGGAGGGGACTGGGGTCTTGATTCAAAATCAAGAAGCACAATACAATTACTTAATTTTCACAGCTAAAGGAATAGTCTTAGCTGTTTCTCTCCAAGAAGGAAAAAAAAAACAATCCTAAGGAAAGCAATAAAAATGTGATTAAAGCCCTCGTTAAATAAAGGATACAAAGCAGTCCAAGCTAATCCCCAGTCACCCCTATCACCAACACTACCAAATTAATACAAACTCTGTACTCCTCCCTAATGAATTTCAAAGGTCCTGGCTAGTTTGATAATAAAAAATAATAAAGAACATCATTTAATAAGTATTTCATAAAGACAAGCATTCATTCTATGCTAGGGACTGTGCTAAGTGCTTTGCATAAATTATCTCATTTTATTCTCCCAACTGCCAGGAAGGTAGGTATTGACATTGAAATTTTCCAGATTAGGAATATGAGATTCAGAGAGGTTGTGACCTCTCCAAATCCCAGTAGCCACTAAATTGTAGGACTGAGAATGACATACAGGTCCGATTTGACAGCCCAAGCTCTAAGGTACATAAAAGCAGAAACCACTATTTCCCCACCAACTACAGGACTTAATAGTAAAGAGCACTCATAGTTACCAACTAAGTCCTCCCCCTCAAGTGAGGTGTGCAAACTGCTCCACCAACCTACATGGAATAAAGAACCTAACTTTTCAGTCTAGTGGTGCTTCATGACCCTTTTCCTCACAGTTGGAGTGTGTGTGGCGGGGTGCCATTGATGAAGGGGAGCTCCCGTCAGAGATGAGCTGGTGTCTAATGAATCCAGATAACACTCAGCTTCAACTCAAAATGGGAAAGAGAAGAAATAGTATACTTGCAGATGCAGCAGGTGGGAAAGAATCGAGATTTCTGGGATACTCTTTCACTGTGGGAGGGTGCATGGAAGGAAAGCTCTTCTGAGTCAATCTAAGGAAAAGTGACCCAGGGTTCTCTCAGCTCTGCAAAGAGGCAGACTTTCAGCTACACCACACCCGTGCCCCTCCCCCTCACAAAATTCCAGGCCGGGGTTTCCCACTTGCAGGATGGTAAGGCCAGGGAAGGGAGAGGGGAAAGAGATGGCACGGGACTACAAATGGATTCGAGACGGGCGACAGGAGATGGGGAGGAGTTGGGGGGCGTCATTGCTGAGCAACCACCCCGGGGCACATGCACTGCTGACATCATCCCAGGCCACTTCTAACACAGACCTTTGACCCCATCGGGGCTAGGAAGGCTGCTGGCTAAGCTTCCTAGGAATTATGTGAACCCTGTGCATAGGGTCGCTATGAGTCGGTACCGACTCGATGGCACCTAACAACAACGGAGAAGAAAGGAACCCAGGCGTCCTGCCTTTATCTCCTTTACTCTCAATACAGAGAGGACTCTGGCCTTTGACGCCTTCTCAGCCTATAGCCCTTAGCTCCCTTCCCACATTTCTGATTAGAGTCCCGACACACCCCTCGGAGATAATATGCCTTTCTTCCCTCAAGTGAGATTGCGGGAGGGGGGCGGGCCCCCAAGTCTCCTAGCTGTGGGATCCTCCGTGCCCCCGGCTAGCCGCCTGTCCGTATCTGTCTGGGTCCCCAACTCTCCCGCCCCTCCCTGCGCTGTTCCAGGGCGGAGTCTGTGGAGTTGAAACCAGGACACGGCGAGAGGAAGAGTTATATAACCGGGAGAGGCAGAGAAGGACGAGTGGAGATGGGGACACAGAGTCCGAAAGGAGCCAAGGGAGGCGCATAAGAACGCCAGGGTGAATGGGGAGTAAACTGGGGAGTAAACGTTAGCGATGGGAAAGGTTTTGGTGCACATCAAAGAGAAGGAATTCATTCGAAAAAGTGACAAGACGGCCTGGGGAGATTCTCTTAGGCAGTCTGGAGCGTCCCCGCAACGCCCCTCCCCCATTGCCAACAGCTGCCAGGCCCGGGTGGGTGATGTCGGGGAAGGGGCGCTGGTACCCGCGCCGATCACCTCCAGGGAGGTAACCTTAGCCAAGGCCCGGGAACGCAGAAGGTGGTGGATGTGAAGCCGGAAACCACAGCTCCGCCCAGCCCCCCTGGGAGCTTGGGGCGCCAGCAGTGGTGGGCGACAGGAGGGGAACAGGTAGTCGGCCCCTCCCACGCAAGGCTAGGTGCTGTGGCTTAAAACCTCGCGAAAGAGCGCAAACCGACCTAGACGTCTGGATGAGGAGTTTAGCCCAAGATTAGTTTGCAAACACAGATGGGGGCTGGGGGTGGGGGGCGAGACGCTGCGCAGACGCAGAGAAGCACTCTGGCGCGTGCGGTGGAGGGAGGGGAGATGGGCGCGAGCGTGTGGGAGTGCACGTGCGGATCCCCAGCAGCTACCCCCTCCTTTCCTCCACCTCCTGTCCTCCCCTTTCTCTCTTCCTGTCGCCTTATAATGCCTCCACTCTATTGGCTGCCAGGGTCCTGATGTAAGGAATGTCTGCTCAAGAGGATTGGGCAGACTCTAGAATTCGGGAATCCGGCTCCAGAGTGTGGTTCTCCAGTTACTCTGGCAACAGGGCAAGCAACCTCCGCGAAGGGAGCGGAACGGAGCGCGTTACCTGCGTCCCGCCTCCCTCTGGACTGCAACTGAGTACATTTCAGTCATAGAGCCTCCCCGCCATCCTCTCAAGGCTCACCCTTATCCTGGGACCCAGGCTTCCAGCCCTCGACCTTAATTACAGCGTCCCAGCTCTCAGTTCCCACCAACCCCCACTCCAATCACAACCACAAGCCACAGCAGACAGGAAGCAAATCTGTGTTGCTTAGCAACCAACCCGCGTGCCCCCTCCCCACTATTTACCCCAGCCATGAGAGGCGGAGAATGGGCTCCCAGCCTTCTCCCAATATTTTACCCCTCACCTTCCTCCTACAGTTTACTGTGCGGGGGGCCAGGATGACAGGAAGTCAAGTGAGGGCTCAGCCACCTTTCCCTCCAGCCGGAATGGGGGGGCTTCAGCTGTTTTAAAGGCCATATCCCTCCACCCCCCACCTCAGCTCAGAACGTACGTCTCGCCCTTGCCATCTCGTGGCAACATTAGGAAAATTCAGCCAGGAGAAGGGCCCAATTGGGGCCAGGGCTAGAAACTGGAGACTGCAGCCCAGGCAAAACTAGCAATGAGGAAACTAGCGGGGTGAGGTAGAAGTGAGCTGTGTGGACATGTGGGTGAAAGATTCTATGAGGTTTTCGGGGCTCCTGGTGTGAGGCTCAGGGCTGATGTTATATATACATCAGCCAATCTCACCCGTAGGAAGAACTGAAGGAAAACTTGAAGCGACACCCCCCCCACCTGAGACACACTTGTCCGTCTGTACACATCTGGTCTCAATGGGTCTTCACACTGACCTGTCTGTAAACTCTGACCTTAGGTTAGGGATCGCTGAGCCCCGTTTTAAGATTGGCAAGGGGAATCTCAGCTTTAAGTGGAGCTGGGAGTCCATTAAGCTTCTATTGACATCTGGAACCCAAGACATCTGCCGCTCAGTTCTTACCCCAAATTCTAGTGTTTTTTTCCTAGGGGCTCCAGGTGTCCTGACCCCAGTCTTCTTCCCAGCAGCTTTCCCGAGATCCAAAAGTCCATCCTCAGCTCTACCCTCCCAACTGCGACCCAGGCGTCCCGCCCCCTGAGCGGAGATGGTTTCCCTTTTTAGACGCCCTTGCAAATCCCCGTTACCTGGTTCTGGGGGGGTCCCAGGTGTTCAGGATCCCCAAGGTCCCCCAGGGGTCGGGCGGGGCCCCCCCTCTCCCAGGCCAGGGCTGGGGGGCCCGCTCCGCCCCGTGGCGCAGTTGGATTTTCCTACACAAACACCCGCCCCGCGTCTTTCCCCAGCCCCGCCCCTTCTCATGGCCCCGCCCCTCCTTGCTCTGTAGCCCATCTCTTCGGCTCTGCTCCGCCTCTGCTGGTCTCCTGTCCTCAAGGCCAGTGGATAGGATGGGGGGGTAGGGTGTTTGGTGCTGGGTACCAGATTCTGAGTGCAGTTTCTGGGGTTCCAGTTCTTTTGAGTTCTGTCTGACAAACCCCGGCTTCCATTTGGACCACAAGCCCTTCCAAAGTAAGCTCCGCCCCACCCACCCAAGTCCCACCCCTAGATCTAGCCCCACCCTTCTGTAGGCGCCACTCCCCTGCCCTTGCTCAAGACCACGCCTTCTTTCATTTCTAGGCTTCTGACTCCCTAGCTAAATTCCTCACTAGTAGCAGTACCTTCCACATATATAAAACTGGGCCTACTTCCTTTCCAACCCTCAACCATTCCACTAAGAGATTTTGGGCTTGTGGTCATTCGTATTTTACTGAAAGTACAATTTCTCCACCTTTTTGGCTAGCAAACAGGTTATCTCCAGGACCCCATTTAGCCTCATTCAGCCAAGGTCAAGGTCTGATCTCAGGCAAGACTGCTTTATCAGCCTTGGCTCCTACAGTCTCCACGGTCTCTCAAACAAGTTAGAAGAGGAGGCCTCCTCAGTTGTCCAGGCTCATGAGTAAGGCAGTACCCCTCTTGATCCAATGATCAGCTGTCATGGTTCCAGACCGGAGATCAATGCCAATGACGAAGGAAGATCTGTCTGAGCTGCCTGCTCGGTTGGGATAGTAATAGCAGGGACAGGAGTACATGCCTGGGAGAAAGGAAAAGAGAAGGAGTCAAGTCCTGGATTTCTGGGAAAGCAGGGCAAGTGCAGGTGTAGAAAGGGATTAGCAGAGGATGGGACAGGATCCACACTAGGCATGGGTCAGACAATTTGGGGAGCTGCCCCACCCTTAGCAGTCTTCTTTCGGCTCTCTGCAGGCCGGAAATGGATTGTGGGCATGAGACAGACTAGCTGCATGGGCTCTGCCTCCACCAAGCAGGAATTCTTGCGATCCCAACCAGCACCCTCCAGGTACAGGCCTCGAACCCAGACACCATCCTAGGGAGAAATGGGGGCGTTTGAAGGAAGTCTTCAGGTGTCAGGACTGGCTTGCCACCTCCTTCCTTCCTTCTTGACCAATTATTTCCAACCTTTGTTCCCAACACCCTTCCCCACCAGCTCTTCTTTTGCTCAATGCCCCTAAGCACATCTGGTTCGCACCTTGGGTGGATATACTAGGTTGCTGTCATCCACAGTGGAAACGATAAACTCCCAAGAAAGGCTGTCCACTGAAATCTAAGGGTTGAAGGTGGGAATGAGGGAGAACTCCACAAAGGAGGGCAAACATATATCCCCCAAATCCACCCCCATCACACTTTCCACATTGTTTACACTGTTTTGGCGAGCTGAAGACTGAAGCACAGCAGTGAGGAAGCCAGTGGGGAAAGTGAAGCTAGACAGCCAGAAGATGACAGGTGGCCGTGCGCGGCTGGCCCACAACTCAAACTGCTCCACACGCATGGCCAAGTCCCGGGTCCACGCAGCCAATGGTTTTTGCGAGGGATATGCCTGGGGAAGGAGGCAGTGTATCTTTATTCATTCATGTATTCAATCCCATAGTTTAAGAATCTGGGGCAGATATGAAAAAATATGTAGTGTCAGCCTCTGGTCTCAGCTTACAGTTGGGCAAAACTCTTCAAAAACCAATTCCCAGGAAAGAAGCATAAAGTGGTAACTATTAATATCAATAGTAATATTAACCAGTAACCACTAAGTAATCACCTACTAAGTGTTATTATGCTCAATGCTGGGAAGTCTTGAAACATCCTTAGGTTAGTAACATGCCTGGCTTAATCTGTAACTTAGTAGGTTCAATAAAGTCAGACAGTGAACAGCAGGGTCAGATTTCAATCTTAAACCTGCCTGACTCTGAAGTTCAGGCTCACTGAAGTTTCTTTTATGCCTCCTAAGAACCAGATTGTGTAAAAAGAGATGTGAGAACTCATTGCTGGAATAGGACTGATAGTGCAGTGGTGTAATCTTGCCTTTCCCCAGAGTGGAGGGACATGAGCATCAAAGATGCAATTGAAAATCTCTTCCAGGCTTGTAGACATGACGATGACGCCCTGGATGCCTTTTTCTAGGTCTGTCAGTGAGAACCTAAGTAGGATGAGGGGAAGGGTTAGAGTTGGGGGAGCCCTGAGATAGACATCCCAGGCAAATGGGGAGAGCCTTTTCCTCCCAACATCCCTCTTTGCCTTACAGGATGATCTCTATCAGCTTGTTGTATCTCTGAATCTCCTGCAGAAGGACAACATTGAGAGGGGAAGGGTCCAGAGCCAGCAGTTTTCGGGTCCCCTCATAGTCAATCATCTCAGGAATCTTTTGTTTCACATCAGTAGCCAACTCAAGGACCTGGGGAGGCAAGAGCTCTGGAGTATAGGCCACTCTTCCTCATCACCTTCTTACTCCTAGGTGCTATCTGCTCTTACCTTCTCCTCCCGGCTCTGTCCCCCAGCCCTGGTGGGTGTGATCTGGGGTTGCAAGGAAAGTAGAGTCTCAAAAAGAGTCCGTGCCTCTGTGATCTGGGAGGCCACATCAGCATTGGGGTGCTGGCCAAAGGCCTCAGGGGGGTCCATGCCAGGCAACATGCTAATGTACTCCTTGTAAGAGGCCAGGTTCCCATCTTTTGGGACAAAGTAGGTCTCCAGCACAGAAAACCTGAGAAGTGAAAGCATGTTTATCACTATTTGTGGGCATTCTGGGACTTCAATGTCAGGACAAGACCCCAGTCTCTATGTTAAATTTTATCTTTAAATACTTTCTCTAGCCCCAATCCAGCTACCTAGTCTGTTTTGTCCTTTGGAACCCTGCTCAATGCCTCCTCCCCCTCACCGGTAGGAGGGTGTTGATAGAGTCTGGTCGCAGAAATAGTCATTGATGTAGGTGGTGAGCAGGCGCCGATCCCAGTCATCTGTAACATGTCCACCGTAGTTAACACCAGCAATGAGGTACTTAAGTGCATCCCAGGGTGTCTCCTCATACTCATCCAGATAGAGGCTTAGCAGGTTCTCTGACACCTGTATATGATCCCAGCCCAAGCCTCAGCACACATGTATGGCAGGACATCTTCCAATGGGCTTTAACATGGGTTTCCTGTCAGGGGAATCATCTTGCAGGGGAGTCATAGGGAAGGAAGAGGAAGGAGGAAGGGCTGGGATGAGGGACTCCTGGTTAGCACAAACCTCAAAGTCAGAGTCATTAAAGCCATAGATGATGTTCCAGCCAAGCTGCAAGAACTTTTTGCGTTCAAGCAACACGGAGTGGAAGAAGCAAAGAGCAAACAACAGCTTCTTATACTTGGCAGGTTTGGAGCAGTGGGAAAACTGTGGTTCTGTCATCAATTGGTAAAGACGTGTCATGTTGGCCTTTAGGCCCTGGGGACAATGAAGCACAGAAGTGAGGTAAGATCATGTTCAGTCGTGTCAACAGGACTACCATGTACAGTTGTAGAGGTTGTTCATTATTATACAAGGGTACTGGCTGAAAGGGCAAGCCAAAATACAGTTCTTGATCTACATACCAAAATGTGCGATTACTCATAGCATTGGGTACCTTCTCTAATTCACATACAGGTACCGTATGGACTAGTGGTAGCCCTACTTTCTTGTTTCCTCCACTTTTTTTTTTTTTAAGTTTTTATTGTGAATTATGTGATAGTTTACATGGGAAAACATTAGCTTTACATTCATCCTATTGTATTTCTTTTCATTGCCATGATTATAGTTCCCTCCATGCATCATCCAACAACCAAAGGGTACACCCCGCAAGTCTGCCCCCCGGGTCATCAGCAAACAACCTCTCTCCCTCCTTGGGTCCAGAGTCCCCAGCCGCTCCATCTTTCCACGTTCCCTCCACTTTTGTACTTTTCAGTCATGAGGTTCTCAATTATGGGTAAGATCATTAAACTAGTTGCTGTTGAGTCAACTCCAAACTCAGGACAACCCCATTAGTATCATAGTAGAACTGTGCGCCATAGAATTTTCAATGATTGATATTTCAGAAGTAGATCAAAGGCCGTACTTCCAATGTACCTCAAATCTCCAACCTTTCAGTTAGAAGCCAAATACAATAACCATTTGCGCCATTGCCATGCAGTGAATTACTTGATATGGTCCTCCTAGCGATAGTTTTTGTAACTCCCACCAAGTGACTAAATAGGACTATGCAAATGTGAGGTGCTTATGGCCACTAAGAGGACTGGATAGCTTGTTAATAATGTAAGTAAGGTACATGCACCCTTATGGGGCTTGTTGTTAAATGTCATCAAGTTGGTTCTGACGCATAGCAACCCTAAAAAGGGTTTTCAAGAAGCAGCTGGTGGGTTTGAACCGCTAGCCTTGTGGTTAGCAGTTCAATCCTTATGCTATGGCATCACACCAGGACTCCTCTTATGGGGTTGTTAAGTGCATTCAAGTTGGTTCTGACTCATAGTGACCTGTATAGGGTTTCTAAGGAGCAGCTGGTGGGTTTGAACTGCCCTTGTGGTTTGCAGTCCAGTGCTGATCCACACAAGGAGTTTCTTATGGGGGTAGGGATATGCAAATAAGTTGGGGATTGGTCATTTTTGCTATCTTGCTAGGCTTAAAATTAGTCATCTGAGAGACAGAAAGGAGGATCTCAGTACCATCAAGAAAGAAGAGCCAGGAGTGGAGTATATATATCCTTTGGAGCCGAGATCTTTGTGTTGAACCTCCTTGATCCAGGAGACAGAAAGCTATGACACTAGAGACAGCAAGAAGCAGTGGTAGAGAACTGGCAGCAGCAGGAGCAATAGAACAAAAGAGCAGAACAAACCCCAGCACTGGCTTCACGGTCCATGGAGGTAGAGCTCCAGGTGCCTTCAGACAGGAGGCTTGCTGGTAGGGAGAGGTGCCTTCAGGCACTTGCTGAAGAAGATAGGGTTGTCAACCCATGTGGCTAGAGTAGGGTACTTCTGAGCTAAAAGACTTTTGCTACAGTTGCTAGAGCAAGGCAGACACCAGGCCAAGGGTCCAAGGGTCAGAGAGAGGCCTGTTTGTGAGCACAGCTGAGAAGAGGTTATCCTGATAGAACTGTGTTGCAGACCGTGTAAGACTAGTCAGAGGTTCGAGGCCCTCTAGGGCTGAGTGTAACAAATGAGGCCACTGGCAGTTAATGGAAAATTGCTTTCATCTTAATATTCAGGTATATATATTAAATTAATACACTGGAGCCTTTGAAAATCCACAGATAAATGTGATATTTTCCTAAAGCCGAGACTAAAGGTTGCAAGGTTAAACCTTTCTCCAAAGGATTAACTAAAAATATCTTAGCTACTTCTCGGTTCTTTGTTCTATAGACAAAGAATCCATCCTCCCTAATCCCTTTTCCAGGTGCAGCCCATTCACCTGGGCGTCTCCTGCAGAACTCTCACCTTCCCCCAACTGACCTCAGGGGCTATAGATATGTTAATTGGGCCTGAGAATCCAAGTTGCTGGCCTGGGATTCGAACCAGTGAAGTACAATGTAAAGTTACCTGACTGTCTGGAAAATTACTGATGTTAGCTGTATCCTGTTTTAGTCCCTCCCAGCTTGGTGTGAAACTCCTCCCCTAAATAAAACAGAGGCCTAGGCCTCCCCAGGTGTGCATTGCTGGTTGGAAGGCATGGAGTAACGATTGCAGTACATTATGGGTTAGAAGGCATGCAGTAAAGATTGCAGGGCAGTGAGTTGCTGCCTGCAGAGGCCATGATGCCTGTAGTCCCAAGCCTGCCCACCAGTGATGTATCCACCCTGGCTTTGGGGTGCTTCATTGTCTCCCTTCTGTTTGTCTGTGTATTCTTTCGCTATCCCTATCGCTGCTGGATCTCCCCTCCTCGTGAACCAAACACTCGTGACAACTATGTCGAGGGAAAACCCCAACAGAACTGTATTCTGTGTAGTTTCTGATCCTGAATTGTAACCCTTGACTTCCCTAATAATCCCCATAATCCTGAGTATTGTCTGTGAGTTCTGTTTGGCCGCTGCAACAAATGATCAAACCCAGCAGAGAAGCAGGGACGGATGGTTGATATCAGAACTGGTAAAAAGGTTGGCATGTCTGACCTCCGCCTCATAAGAATCAGCTCTAGGGGGAGACTTTCTCTCTGTGTCAGCTCTTAGGTAAGGTTCTTGTCTCCTTAATCTGTGGGCCTGGTATCCCTTGGATCTCTCCATGTGTCCTTTTATTTATTTATTTTTTAAACTGTGAATTGGGTAAAGGTTTACAGAGGAAATGAATTTTTCACCCAACAATTCATGTGCGTTTTGTGTCTTGTCAGTGATTGCAGTCCCCACAATGTAACATCATTCATACCATTTCGTCCCTGTGCTTCCTGTTTCCATTCCTCCTTCCTTCCTATCGCTTCCTGCCTTCTGAATTTGTTGTTAGGCAGAAGCTGCTCTCTTTTTTTTTTTTTTTTTGGTAAGTTTTTATTGTGAACTGAGTGATAGTTTACATGGGAGAACACTGGCTTTACACCATTGTTTCATTGCAATGAATGCTGCTCTTTTTATCTCAAATGGTTGATTGCTCTAAGTAATGCATACTTCCCTAGTGTTCACCTAATAGACCTGTTTATTGTTTCACTGAAAATCTTCATGTGTCTTGGCATAAATCTTCCAGAGTCCAGGATGTTTTCAGCACAGGGACCCTAGACCCAAAGGATGTGCTCCATTCCCAGATATTCTTTCCTGGTGGTACTGAGATGCCCTTTTCTTGGCTTTCTTCTGTCTCCTTTTATCTCTTGTAAGATAAAAGGTGATGCAGGCCACATCCCAGGAAAACTTCCCTTCCATTGTCAGGGCTGTGACTTAAGTAAGGGGAGTAGCATCCCACCCTAACTCCCCTACAACTGATTGGCTGATCAGATCAGATCCCATTTTGGAGGATAATTACATCATTGTATAACTGTCAAACCACTGAGAACCATGGCTCAGCCAAATTGATACACATTTTTGGGAGACACAATTCAATCCACAACATCAACTATTAACTATTTTTAATGTATATGGCAATTAAGACAGTGTGATATTGAACTCAAGAGAAACATTTGAAGCAATAAAGAGGAAGAAGAGCTGAGAAACTCACACCTATAAGGAAACAGATTTCAGACTGAGTGGGCCTTACAGATCAGAGAGTAATTGTGGACAACTTGATAATAAGTGGTATTGGCAGAATTGCTTCTGTGGGGGAAAAAATAAAAGTTGGCCTTTATATCATACCATCCACATAAAACTCAATTCCAAGTACCCTAAACGTAAAAGTCAAATTATAAACAAGTTTTGAAAACAAATAAAGGATAGTACTTTCATGACCTTGGTATAAGCAAAGATTGCTAGAGCCAGATTTAAGGATCACAGAAAATAAAAAAAGAAAATAGCTAAATGTGACTTCATAAAAATTAAGAATTTCTATTTACTAGAAGATGACACAAAGATAAGGGGGCAAGCCACAAAACACGTAACTGGCAAAAAATTAGAATCTGGAAGGTATGAAGAAGTACAAATATGAAGAACAGCATAAATGAGTCCCAAGTACATGATGTTGAATGAAAACTGACTGTTGCAGAGGAGTGTACACAGTATCAGATATACAAACTTTTTGTTAAAATTATAAAGAAAATGACTAACATAGCATTATGTTAGAACACTGACTTTTTCTCAATGGGGAGGGGAAATGAGGACTGGAGGGAGAGGGTAGGTAGAACCTGGACTTAAAAGACAAAGTGGATAAAGACAATATTTGGCATCCTCCTTTGGTGAGTGAAAATCATAGTGGTCAAAACAGTCTGGTACTGGTATAAAGAAGATGCTGGCATAAAGATCAATGGAATAGAATTGAGAACCAGAAGTAAATCCATCCACATGCAGTCAGCTGATCTTTGACAAGGGGTCAAAACACATTAAATGGGGAAAAGATAATCTCTTCAACAAATGGTGCTGGCAAAACTGGAAATCCATTTGTAGAAGAATGAAACAAGATCCATATCTCACATCATATAAAAAACCCAATTCAATGTAGATTAAAGACCTAAACATGAAACCTTGGACTATAAAGATCATCTATGAAAATATAGGGACAAACTTAGGGGCTCTAATACATGGTATAAATACATAGTCAAACATAATTAAAAACAACATTAAAAGACAGAATAGATGACTGGGACATCCAAAAATTAGACATTTATGTGCATCAAAAGATTTTACCAAAAGAGTAAAAAGAAAACCCACAGGCTGGGAAAAAAATTGTTTTTTGCAATGACATAGCAGACAAGGCACTAATCTCTAAAATGTATAGAAAACTACAACACCTCTACAAGCACCACAAACAAAACATTGGCAGAGGCCATTAACAGGCACTTCACCAAAGAAGACA